ATACTAACATTAAATATAATATAATTTTTATATTTTTTTGTATATATTTATGATAAAAATATATCATTAATATATACTTTAAAAGTATAAATTAAAAAATTCCTTTTTAATATTTAGAAGGTATTGGTTTTCCATGTAAAGCGATTGAATTTGATACTAGAAAAAAATTTATTTTTAATTCTTTTGTAATTATTTTATTTGGTTGGATCGTTGGCTCCAGCCTTCCAAGCTCTAGCGATCAATAATTGAAACGGTGTCGTTGAAGAACTGTGACCGACAGAACTGATTTACAATTTGACGTGGAAACTACCGGCGGTAAAGACCAACGGACAAATCTCACGGGGACAATAAATTCCAATTTCCAATCCATTAAATCGCATCTTTTTTCTTCACTGATGAGGATCAACGCATTCAGTGACGACTACGCCGAGCGGAACCAATTGGAGCAGCAATGTCTGAGATGGGGAAGACCGTACTCGATTCCGGCTGGCCCGCCGCCAGATCCACGGAGATCGAACTCACTGGAACACAGCTTACCACCACTAACCCGCCGACTGGCCCCACTGCTCCATGGATGGAAGCTGTCGTCCCTGGAACGTAAGACTCCAATTCATTCACCGGTTCACAATTTCTGATCTCTCCAAAACCTCTCCTGGTTTGCTTGACTGAGTTGACTTAATTTTTTCTTCTTGTTCCCGATTTTGATGTTGTAATTAGAAATCAACGCTGCAGAATTTAATGCGGGAGTACTTGACTAGAGAATTAATTTGAAATTTAGTATTAATTCTGTATCACCTGATCCGGAATCACGGAATCAGTTCAAGTAATTATGGTTACTGAAATTATGATATAAAAGTTAATTCGTATATTGGCATGATCGTGTTATGATTAATTTATTTGGATTAAAAAATTTTCCTTCCCCACCATTTCCCTCAAACCAAACATACTGTAAGAGTCTGTTATTGGTATAATTGTGTTTGTTTGATTGGCAGTGTTTTGGCAACTCTGGAAAAGAACAAACTTGTTCCCGATCCTTTCTATGTTTTGGAGAATGAGACTATCATAGATATAGCTGATTCAGGGAGGGAGTATTATAAATTCTGGTTTTTCACAGCATTTCAGTCTAAGCTGGTATGCAAATTTTTTTACCTGAAATATTAATTTCCATGTTGTATATGGTTTGAAATTGAATTTTATCATCTGTATTCTTTAAGAAAAGACTTGTTCTGGAAATGGGAAGTCTGCGGAAAATTTGTCCCCACCCTAGCCAATATCTTGATGGCACTCGCATTTATGTCCAAGGATCCAAGTGGGATGGCTCTGCAAATGGGAAGGGTGATTTCACCGATGGACCTAATGAAATCCAGAATCCCGAAGACTTCTTTGAGGATGACTTTTACAACTATGGGTTCAATCCGGCGGTTGGTTCTGTAGGGAGGTCAGTTGCAGCTACTATCAGAGCAACAATGCCTCCGGAAGGTTGGAAAATTCCATTGTTTAATAAACTACCCAATGGTTACATAGAAGAAGTTCCAAACCCCACAAGGGAGTACCATGGATACATTTCCTATTCAAAACCAAGCAAGTAATAACATTTCTTTCAAACACCTCATCAAAAACCTGCCTCCCTGAACTCAAACACCCACATTTTAAGTATGATGTTATCAAAGCATTTCCCACATTTAGAGGTGGCAAAATCTAGTCCGACCTCAACCAAACCCATAAAAAGTAGGTTAGGGTCAACTATTATTGGAGTCATGACCCGTTTAACCCATATTTAATTTTAAAATTTTTTTAAATATTTTTATTTGTTAAATTTTTAAGGTAAAGTAACTTACAAATATAATTTTAAATAAATCTAATATGATATTAGAATCTAGAAAAAACTAAATTATGATGCACCATGTTCCAATAAAATAAGCAAAAAAAATATATTCATTACTAGAAAAATATATTCATAATGAATCTAATGAATATATTTTGCAATAATGAATGTGTTTATCTAATATATTTTAAAATAAATAACTTAGATGAATATATATTTTTTGTTCTTAAGTAAGGTATTTTGTTCTTAAGTAAGGTATTTTGTTTGGTTAAAATGCAGACTTTAAGATGCATCATTTTCATTTTATTGCTGGTGCCAATTCTCAATTTATGATGGTAATTGTTGTTTGTTTAAGAAATAACTTATATTAAATTGTGTTATATTAATTATAAATTTGTGCAAGTGTTAGAGAGTCGCTTACACTCCAAACAATAATAATTTTAAAAAATAGAAGTAAATATGATAATTGAGATTTAAATTTTGATAAATCAATATAAGAAATGTGATTAATTGTATAAAAAAAAAAAATTCAACCCATAAGTCAACTCATGATCCATTAATATTAGGTTAGAGTAAACATTTACTGAATCACAACCCGCATATGAGCTAATCTATAAAATCCATGACTCAAGTAGACTTAATTGTATAAAAGGACAGAAAAAAAAAAAAAGTTCAACCCATAAGTCAACTCATGATCCATTAATATAATATTAGATTAGAGTAAACATTTACTGAATCACAACCCGCATATGAGCTAATCCATAAAATCCATGACTCAAGTAGACCTAATTCGAACCTAACTCAACCCATACGATTACCACCTCTACCCACACTTTTTACCCTTTCATATCCATTCGAAAAACGTTAAACAATATGTCATCCTGTTGACGTGATAAAACTCTTCTCTATCGCAAGCTGATAAAATTGTTGTGAGAGTTGCTTGATCCAAACGATAAAGCTCTGAGCTTTGCATTCTTTTGAAGTAGCCAAAACACCCCTCAAGATCCTCATTCCTCAAAAAACCAGATATCAGTGT